TATCCAAATCCCGGATAAGGACATTGGGGGCAAGAGGGTTAGAAGTGTATATGAGATGGATGTTGAAGATGTGGTCACAAAGATGGAGTTCGATGAAAAGGGCAAGAGATTCGTCTATGTTATGAAGAGGGCTGCCCTTCCTCTTAGCCACTTTGAAGAACGAGTTGGGCCTGATTTCAAGAGAGCGGATGGGCAAGATAGTCAGGGCATGAGCTTCGCGCACCAATGCTTGCTTACGCTTCCGGGAGTCAAGAGGGCGGCTTCTTGGTATGATTTCGATCCCCTTATCTTTATTCCTAATGTTGTTTCTTTCTTTGATGAAAACAGCTCGGAGAACAAGAAATATTTCAAGGAAATGATGAGGAGGAAGCGTAGAGAAGAAAGGAAGCAAGCAACCAAGGGTGGAGGACCCACCACGGACCTTTACCTTTCTTGATGCCGAAGCTCTTGGTTTGGAATGTTAGAGGTTTAAACAAAACCTCTAAACATAATTTAATTGCTAATTATATTAAATCGAGTAATATTTGTTTGGCATGCTTTTTGGAAACAAAAATGACTTTGGCCGCTTTTAATAACTATGTTTTAAATAAATGGCCGGGTTGGATTTGTGAAAATAATTTTGATTTAATAAGTGGGGGGCGCATGGCTATCATGTGGAACCCTAATTTAATTAATTGTGTGTTTCTTGAAAATGATAAATAACATATGCATGCTAGATGCGTTTGTCGTATTACGCAAACGCACTTTTTTGCCACTTTTGTGTACCCGTTTGGGACCATTTGACTTTAGTTGGGAACCAAATTGGTGACCCTTGGTTAGTTTGCGGGGATTTTAATTGCATTTGTGCGCCTAACAAGAGGGTGGGTCCTACCCCTTCTACGGCGTACGTTATGCAACACCTATTGGACTTCAAAGTCTCGGCTAGCCTACAAGATGCACCCTCCACTGGAGAGTTCTTTACTTGGAACAAAGGTGCACTTTGGGCTAAACTAGACTGGGTTTTAATTAATGATGTTTGGGGGGCTAATTGTATTGGGTGTAGGGTCCATTTCAATGAGATGGAGGTAGAGTTTGACCACAAGGCTTCCGTTGTGTCAATACTCCTTAATTCCTCTCCTAAACCTAAGCCTTTTAAATTTTTAATATGTGGTTGAAACATCCTAGCTTTCCTAATCTAGTGGAGATGCATTGGAACAAAGCTTTTGTTGGATCGGCACAATTTATCTTGGTAAAGAAACTTAAAGGGCTCAAAAGGCCCTTAAAGAATCTTAATACCGGAGAATTTAGCCACATATCCGAAAAGGCTAAGATGGCAAAGCAGGATTTCAAACGATTGCATAAATTGGTGCTTCAAGATCCGGGGGATCAAGAGCTTAAGGCCCAATTGTCCGTAGCCTCAAAGAGAGCTATTTTTCTTGGTGAAGCTGAAGCATCTTTCTTTCAGCAAAGGACTAAGGCTACACACATTCTTGAAGCAGACAAGTGCACTAAATATTTTCATGCAATCGTCAAAAGAAACTTGGCAAGGAACACAATTTCATCACTTACTTTGGAGGATGGTACGCTTACTACTTCTTTAGATCAGGTAGGGAATGAATTTGTTAATTTTTTCGTTGATTTATTTGGTTCTAATGGTGAGAGCCTGGATCTGGACCCCTCGGTCTTACCCTCGGGTCCTAGGATTGAGCAGAATGCTCATGCGAGCCTTATTGCCCCGGTTACATCGTTGGACATTAAAAATGCCCTTTTTTATATTGGCAACGATAAGGCTCCCGGTCCGAATGGTTTCTCCTCGGCTTTCTTTAAGACAATTTGGAACACTGTTGGGAATGACATAGTCCTAGCCATTAAGGAGTTTTTTCGTTCCGGAAAATTGCTTAAACAGTTAAATCATACTATGATACCTCTTATTCCAAAAACGAATCACTCCCCAAAGGTCTCTGACTATAGACCCATCTCATGCACCAATGTTCTATACAAGGTCATAACAAAAATCATTGCTAATAGACTCATTCCGTGTCTCCCGGATTTAATTGATCATGCCCAAGGGGCATTTGTGGATGGCCGCCTCATGTTTGATAACATTTTCCTTGCCCAGGAACTTGTTAGAGGATACACGAGGAAGCGAATCTCACCTAGGTGTATGCTTAAGGTAGATTTGCGTAAGGCCTATGATACCATTTCGTGGGATTTTTTGGAAAATGTACTCAAGGGTTTGGGCTTCCCATTACGATTCATTAGGTGGATAATGGAATGTGTGACTACGGTCTCTTTCTCAGTCTCTTTGAATGACTCGCTCTACGGGTTTTTCAAAGGAAAGAGGGGAATTAGGCAAGGAGACCCCATGTCCCCGCTGCTATTTGTGATTTGCTTAGAATATTTTTCTCGCTTGGTCAAGTTGAGAACCATGGCCCCGAATTTTAATTTCCACCCTCAATGTGCATCCCTCCGTATCACTCATTTGGCCTACGCGGATGATCTAATGCTCTTTTCAAGGGGAGGGGCAAATATTCCATTGGTATACTCGTCAACGCCCTTAAGGACTTTGGTGACGTTTCGGGCCTTAGAGTCAACCATGGGAAGTCAAATATTTTCATTGGGGGTGTGACTGGGTTTGACTTGCAAAACATTCTGGATTTGGTAGATTATGGCCAAGGTGAATTCCCGGTAAAGTACCTTGGAATACCTTTGGCCCCACTCAAGATCTCGGTTGCACAATATGTGCCGCTTATTGAAACTATAACTGACTTTTTAAATGCTTGGAATGCAAAGAGTATTTCTTATGCAGGGAAACTTGAGCTCATATGATCGGTTATCCAAGGAGTGCAGTCCTTCTGGCTACAAGTTTTCCCAGTACCTAGAGCGATTATTGATTGAATTGTATCCATCTGTAGAGTGTTCCTTTGGGGTGACAAATATGCCAAAGTGGCGTGGGACGACATTTGTCTCCCCAAGGAGGAAGGGGGCCTTGGCGTCCGGAATGCCACATTTTGGAACCAAGCTCTCCTTTCTCGCATTCTTTGGGATGTCCACAATAAAAAGGACACTCTATGGGTTAGTCGTGATTCACAGTTGATGAAAAAATTGTATCACATTAAGACCGCATTGATTGGATGTTTTAATAACCTGATTGATACCATAATGGGACTACAGAGTAGGAGCGCTAATGGTAAGTTGATATCATCAAAGGTTTATGAGCTTTTGCGGCCTAAGGGGATTGTACGAATCTGGATGAGTTTCATTTGGAAATCATACATTCCCCCAAAATTTTCTTTTAACACTTGGCTCGCTTTCAGAAATCGGCTTCCTACTCAGGATAGCCTCGGTTATTTGTATGTTGTGAATAGATGTGATTTATGTAAGGGTGGACTAGAATCTATTCCACACCTATTTTTGTTTGCCCATTTGCAGGCCAGATTTGGGAACGAATTAGGAATTGGATGGGACTCGACAATCAGATGACTACTTTATCTAGTGCCGTCAAGTGGATCATGCGGAAGTATAAGGGATCAACGGTCAAGGCGAAATCTGTCCGGATAGCTTTCTGCGTAACTATCTACTGGATATGGCATGGAAGGAACGCAAACCGGTTCGATGGTGCAAATAAGACGGTGGATGAGATCGTGGCGAAGATAAAGTGTGTGGTTTATAAGATACTTTTCAATATCTACCCGCATGATTTGATCAAGATTTGAGGAAAGGAAGATTGTTTTTTGCTTTGGAGAGGCCGTGGCCTTTACCTATTGACTAGCGTGCTTGCATCTTGCAACACCTCTGATTTTTGCTTCGGTTTAAGGGTTGTACTACACTCTCCGTCTAGGCCTTGAATTTTTTGTTGGATAACTTTGATATGTGTGCGTGCTTGCTTGCAGCACTGATTTATTTTTTCGGTTTTGGGGCATTTAGTATTGTATACTTAGACCCTGATTTGTTTTTTATTTTTGGATTAGATCGAATAAAAACCTCTCCTAACCCCTACAATAGGTAGGGATGGGGGGTTAAGAGATTTAGAATTCATGATGTATATTTTTTCTGGGTGTTAATACAAATTTACATTTCATCCAAAAAAAAAAGAGAGAGAGAGATGCAGAATGCTAAGGTAGGTTATTCAATTACTACGTATGAATTTTCTCATCTAATACGCACTAATAAGGTATGCATTTTAGGTAATTTACAGATTTACCATTAATGAAATGCAGAAGCCCAAAGGTAATCCAACGATGGAAAACGCTTCTTATTTTTCAGTTTAAGATGGCCTTCTCATAGGATCTCTTTCTATATATATATATATATATATATATATATATATATATATATATATATATATATATATATATATATACTCCCTCCGTCCCATTGAACTTTGTCAACTTTTTTTTGTCCCAAAAAACTTTGTCACTTTCCTATTAAAGCAACTGATTTGTGATTCTGCACATTTCTCTCACCTCTGCACAAATCTCAACCACACAATTTTTACTATTCTTATTTCTCACCTACTTTGCACTTGACAAAGTCAACTGAGTCGGAGGTAGTATATATATATATATATATATACTCCGTATAACATAAAACGAAGTAGCACTCGGGATTCAAAAAGTCAGTGTGTATCAACTATCAAGTAGTCTTAACTCTTAAATGTAATAGTAATTTTTTAAACAGATTTAGGCAGCGAACCCTGCCACTTCGCCTCAATGCTGCTGGCTATCCATTTTATATAGTGTAGATTTTTTTAGACCCCCAACGGCTATATACCCGTTCCCACAGCTATATATCCCCTTCCCCAATGCTGAAAAAAAAACAATGATTGTTGGGACCAAAGCCGAGACCACCCAGTTCAGTCCCAAAATGCATAACCCGGAACCGGGTACCGAATTTCCGGACCCGGTTCAGTCCCAAACCCATACATGTAAAAACATATCCGGTCCGATCAGTAACAGTACCAGGCCCAGTCAACCGGGCCAGACTGCCTAGGTGGAACAGGTGATGGATTGTATGTGCGAGTCAGGTTATATAAATATCTACGGACACGGGTGGAACTCCCCACTCTAAGTGCATACCTTTTAGCAAAACTGAAGGTTTGGTTTATTATACTCTTGGAGCAAAACAAATGCCACAAAATTAAATATAAAATAAAAAAGATTGCAAGGATTCTGCATTTTGTTGTAATTATTTCTGTTGTAAAATCGGCTACATCCCGAGCTTCAGAATGTCTTTGTTATGTGATCTACCAAAGAATGGGAAAATAATGTGTAGAAACATTTAGCAGTGAGATCCTTGAGACCAAGATAGATCATGCCGGGGTGGCTGACTTGCCTTGTTCAGTCTGGGGGTGTATGTATTTGAACATACCAGCAAGCCCTCTCCCCCTAGCCAGCTGTTCAAGCTCTTCAATCTTGCTTTTAAGCACTTCGATATCCCTCGCTAACTCTTCCTCCCGTTGCCTCATTTGCTGAAAACCACACATTGAAACTATTGCTCATTTGCTATTCAAATTTAAAAAGAGTGAAAACTAAATATTGACCAAAATTAATGTGAGGCCACTTACTTATCAGCTCAAAACTGAGAGCCGGTTTAGGGAACTTACTCGTGATTAATTCCTTTTCAAGCACCTAAAGACTTAAAAATCTTGGTTTTTAGATATCGGTTGTTTTCTTAAATAAGCATAATGTTTGCCATAAAAAGCACTTCTTCAATTTCTTGTCAAACGCCTCCTTTGATTTATTCGTTTATTTTAAAATTTAAATAACCTGGAAGATACTTCAGAGTGAGTGGCAAGGGTGACTTAATCTATTCGATAAAAGTTTCAAAAAATCTGAACATAATAAAGTCAATCTATAGGGAGTCGGAAGACCAAGAGAACAAGAATAGATTTCTGCAGAATCTTGGGAGACGGGGAAGTCTGCGACATGCTATGCTTCCCCCTACACAGACATGTTGTATTTTGTTCATGAGGGGACCAGAGGCGCAATTGATGTCAACTAAGTCTTTCCGAATTTTATGAGGAATATTTATGAATCCATTTCAACAAGATGTTACGATAGTTTGCTTGTACACTAGATCTACACCACAACATATAGCATTACCTTACAATCGAATTGATGCTGCACAAATAAGCTTAACATTATGGTCACGCAATACAGCTCCACTAAAAGCTTTCCCAACTCGTAGTGAGGCATCTGTATTGAGTTCTGAGTTCGAGTAGTCCATTGGGGGGAGTAGCTAAGTTGTGAATTTGCTTAGAAGCATTCTGAGACCAACTGATTTTAGCAGAGAGAGTGCTTAAGTTTCTACATTTCACCACCTCATAAGAAACCCCGATGCTAAGAGGACCTGATGAGGAAAAGTCCAACCCTGTTTTCAAATTTACCTTCATGAATGAGATTATTATTTGGATCCCTAATCAATGCTTCAGCCATTAACAAAGAGATATAAAGTGATAAGGGATCTCCCTACTTAGAACACCCTATGCGGGTTGAAGAAGCCAAAACTAACCTCATTGGGATCTCCCTACTTAGTACAAAACCAATTTGTGCTAACTTGCCCAAAAATCTTGGAAACTCTATCAAAAGCTTTGCCATACCAAGTTGAATAGCAATGTTAGAGCCTCTTATTTGATGATCCAGCTACTTTATTAGTTCAAAAGCAAGGACCTTGTCAGTAGCTTCTCTTCCTGCCATGAAGCTCACTTGCTCACTTAAGAATTGTTTGAACACTAATCACATCCTTACCAATCATGTCCCAACATGATTTGAAAAGTTCACTTGTGTAGCCATGTGGCCCTGCAGCACTAAGAGGATCAAGGTGCTAAACTGCTACCTTAACCTCATCAAGCCTCCTGTAATTTCAATGGAAAAGCATAACCATTCGGAGAAACCAAGTTGGGGTGATCCTAAGCATTTAAGTGTAATCATAAGCATTTAAGTGTGATCCTTGGGGGCTTCCTCTTTAAACACATCAGTAAATAATCTTAGACCCTCCGTTTGTATCTGTTCTTGAACAGCAAGTCAAACACGGTTATCATCCTGAATGGTTGCCTTCCTTCCATCAAACATTTGTGACTTCTATCCTTAACAGTTGCATGAAAAAAATGGTATTACTCTCTCCGTCATCAAGCCATTTCATATGAGCTGTTTGTATCCCAAAGATTTCTTCATTCTTAAGCCTAATACAAGGATCAGTCCTAGCTTTTGCACAAGGGTCATAATTGCTATCGGATGGATTAGAATAAAAAATATAACCGCCCTTTTTGTAACAACTCTTCAGCCTATTTAACACTATTCAAAACATTGCCAAAGATATCTAAGTTCCATATGCTGAATACCTTCTTCGTGAATAGTAATTTAGCAGCCAGTCTTCACATTGCTTCATCCTTCGTTGAACTTCCCAAGTCTTTTTCAGTCACGAAAGACTTCTTTGGAGTAAACCTACTTTTCTTCCTATCAAAAGTACTTAAATTACTTATTCTTTGAAAATAAGTATTTTTGAAACACGAGCATTTTTGGGCCTGGAACTCTGAAGTGTAAATTCTGAGATGAAAAGGATCAAAAGTGACAGGTCTCACTGAAGCGAAGTTTGTTGTGAGGCCACCTTACACAAGTGTTGATAACTCTCACTATCAAGTATCACCACACCTGCCTATCCATGTTCAGACCTACCATAGGTTTCGCTGGGCTTCAGCCCAGGCTATCAATTTTGAAGTCCATATATACAGTGCAAAAGTTTATTGTATTTATATTAACAGTCCAATCTTGTTATTGATCAGCCCACCTCATGTCCAGTCTAGCCTATCATATTTGTAGTTTTTTGGACCTATGCAAACTCATTTAAACAACAACCCAACCATCCACATCCAACAACTCGAGCAACACTTTTCTCCTTTTCTTAAACTAAACTCATTATCTAGCCAGGCTCCTCTCAAATTTTGGATTTGCCCATGTACCTATGTCACAACTATATTTAGTTATTTACTATTATCATCACATACTTGATACCAGAGCCATCATGTTCCTGTCCGGTTCATCTTATTCCACACCTTTTCTGTTTTATCACGTTGTTGTCCGGTTCATCTTATTCCACACCTCTTCTGTTTTATCACGTTCCTGCTCGGTTCAAATTCTTCCATGCCCTTTCTGTTTTATTTTCGTGCTCAGAATCCTCCAAAAAAATACTGAAGTCAACAAATCAACAATCCAGAATCTTTGGTTATGTGGATTGGCTTCTGCTCTACTCTGTCAACGGAAAACTGTGAGTAGTGGCAGCTGTTGTTAAGTAGTTAGCCCTTGGATTCTTTATTTAAGTTCCCAAAAAAAGTCTTATTGATGAACCAGCACATCCAACTCTTCAAGCAAGAAGTCAAGAACGATGCAGGTCGATGACGCCTTACTAGTGACAATACTCCAACACGGCCAAGAACATTTGAGTAAAAATCTTCAAGAATTGAATGTCTCGATCTCTGAAACAACCAAGGCTCTCGCAAATGCTATGCAGGGATCTGACTGCCGCTACAAGGAAACTTGCTTCTATCAATATTCCTCCTTCAATGCAGACTTTTGAAACCGTCATGGAGGATCTTGATTTTGTTGAAAAGAAACTTGCTTCAGTCCAAATAGCTCCTCTGCGCCGGACATTTAGCCCCGTATGGAAACAATTATCCCGTGCTGACGTGGCTGCAAGACAAACTTGAGGTTTATGTTATAATTGTGATGAAAAATGAATCTGTTAGGAATCTTTTATTGTGTACAATTATTATGTGTCTTTGTATTGTAATAACAATTTTACTATTGGGACTTTTATTTATTTAGTCCTTTATGTATTTATTGTCTATTTATCTTTATTAATGATAGGAAGGTGAAGTGTCAATATCCTAAATCGGCAGACTTGATATTATGTACAGTACAGGGACATCAATGCAATGCGTATGTATTCCAGACTGATTGACTTTCAGCTATAATGACTATCATTCTGTATTATTCTAGAGAGAGAGCTTTGTCGACACTTAAAGAGAAATGATCTATCTGTACCGTAACATTCAATATCATTCTAATAGATCGTTCTGCTTCTCTATTGCATTCTAATAGTAGTCTAAGCATTTATTCTGTTGTTGTGATTGTTTGGTACACCTTTCAATTGGTATCAGAGCCAAGCAAGCTACAGATTGGACCAGTCTGCATGTTTCTGGAGCGGAAAGTTTTTCCATCGGACATTTTTCGCAAAACTTGGTATTCGTCCATATGCAAAATTATTGTATCAGAACTGTCTTAATTTGTAAATTTTGATATCAATCCCAAAACTCATGATAACACTCAAAACTTGATCAAACTATAATTGCAAACTATAATCTTTCAGTTTGATACCAGTAGCGTCCACACCTAAAATTGTATCTCAGCCGCCCTCATTGCCTCCACATCTACCAGAAAACTTGATGCTAAATCTTTTGCCAAATCTTGTAGCACAAAGGTTGTTTGTAACTCCACCAGAACAGCTCTACAACTCTCCACTACACTTAATTATCTGCAAGTATTTAAAGAATGAAGGCATTGGAGAACCGCAGAGGAAAAAGTGTCATGATGTCCTAGGACTGTACGTCAAAATCGTCAACCTTCACATTATCAAACATGGTTGTTTGTTCGTCTCTTTCCCAATGATGTCATTTGCTCGTGGAAAGGGTGGACACTACTGCCGGTTACTTCCCTTCATGCTTGTCCTCAAGCTTGATGTCCAAGAGGGGAGTAATAATATGGGAAAGAAACATTATATTACTCCCTCCATCCTTGAATTATCTTTCAAATAGGGTTTTGCTGAATGATTAAGAAAGTGGGAATTGTGTGGTGGAGAATTGTGCAAAAGAGAGAAATGTGTAAGAATGTGTAAACATTGTTGTGAACCATAATTCTTTGTCAAAAAAGAAAAGAGGTGATTATTTGGGACAGACGAAAAGGGAAAGTAGGAAGATAATTCAAGGACAGAGGGAGGATTATTATTATTTCTATGTCCGCTTTAGGCATCTTCATAATTAGCATTTATCTCCTTTTATAATTATTCCTATTCTGCTTTAGGAAACTTCTTAGTTAGCATTTATTTCCTTTTTTTTAAACTTCAGTGACCATGTTATTACACTCTAGTAACTATTAGTCATATTTGTGTAATTAAATTTTGTTTTAGTAATATTTTTGAAGGAGAGAAACTCTACTTATAATTACAATAATACAATAACATTGATAATTATAGTAATGATGATAAAGTTAATAGTAATAATACTGATAATAATAATAATAGTAATAACATTAGTAGTAATCTAAGTAGCACGGAAACGGGAAACGGGAAACGGGAAACGGGAAACGGGAAACGGGAAACGTCGGAAACGCCATTTACCAAAAATACAGGACACGAAACGCGGGGGAAATGCGCAAATATTAAAAATATAGGGGTTAATTTATAAATATTATATATATATATTTGTGAATTTTTTTATATGTATATATATACACTTGATAGACCTGGGTGTGGTGATAAGAATGCTAAGGTTGCTAGGTCGCCGCCCAGAAGCGGCGCGTCATCCCATTGCCCGGGGATGATGTCAAATATGCAAGGGCATGGTGGGGTCCGAGATAGGGCTAAGAACAGAATGTGGAATGCTAGATTGCGTTTTGGGACATGGAATGTTGGGTCTCTTACAGGGAAATCTTCCGAGGTAGTCGAGGTTATGAGCAGAAGGAATATCAGCATTATGTGTGTGCAAGAAACTAAATGGGTTGGAGAGAGCACGCGAGATTAATCCCGGAGGTTTTAAGTTGTGGTATTCGGGGAGAGATAAGACTAGAAATGGGGTAGGCATTATTGTGGCGCGTGACTATGTTGAGGACGTGGTAGAAGTCTTCAGGAAGAACGATCGCATCATGAGCATTAAATTGGTGATAAGAGGTGAGATTGTGTCTGTGGTAAGTGCTTATGCACCACAAGTGGGATTGGATGCATCTACAACTCAACAGTTCTGGGAAGATCTTGAAGACGTGGTGCGACGAGTGCCAAGGGGAGAGAAGTTGATCATAGGAGGTGACCTCAACGGGCATGTGGGCTCGAGTCGTGATGGCTTTGAGAATATTCATGGCGGACATGGTTTTGGCACTAGGAATGAGGCGAGAAAGAACATTTTGGATTTTGCCTTGACGTATGAGTTGGCTATAATGAACACTTGGTTTAAGAAAAGAGACTCTCACCTTGTAACCTATAAAAGTGGAGCTAATAGTACCCAAATCGACTACTTCTTAGTACGGACCACTGGGAGAACTAGCTACACTGATTCTAAGGTTATTCCAAGTGAGAGTGTTGTCACTCAGCATAGGATGCTTGTGCTTGACTTTCGAGGTAAGAACCATGGAAGACAAGTTAAACAACAAGTGGAGCCAAAGATAAAGTGGTGGAGGCTAAAGGGAGATCTTCAACAAAGCTTTACACACAAAATGGTCGGTGAAGATGTATGGCGTATTGATAATGAAACACAGGTGGATGATGTGTGGTTATCAATGGAGTTGACCATTAACAAAGTGGCAAAGGAGGTACTTGGAGAATCTAAAGGATGTCGGCCACCTAAAAAGGACACATCTTGGTGGAATGATGAGGTGAAACAAGCCATAAGGAACAAAAGAGATTGCTACAAAAAGTTGGGGACAAATTGGAGTGATGAGAACATAGAAGCATACAGGGAGGCTAAAAGACAAGCAAAGAAAGCCGTAAGGGAAGCACGAGGGAAAGTGAACAAGGAGTTGTATGAAAAGTTGGACTCTAAGGAAGGAGAACTAGATATTTATAGACTTGCTCGTCTTCGTGATCGCAGAACTCAAGATATTGCAAAAGTTAAGTGTGTGAAGGATGTTGATCAGAGGATATTAATGGACGACGGAGAGATAAAAGAGAGGTGGAGGTCATACTTTGATACACTATTCAACGGGAACAAAACGCAAGATATCGGTGATTTGTCCATACCAGATTGTATGGTAAACCGTGATTTTGTGAGAAGGATCCAAACAACGGAAGTTAAAGAAGCTCTGAGGAAGATGGGACGGAAAAGAGCAATGGGGCCAGATGACATACCGATCGAGGCTTGGAGAAGTTTGGGAGAGAGGCGTCGAGTGGTTAACAAGTTTCTTCAACATGATTTGGAGAAACAACAAGATGCCAACGAGTTGGAGGAAGAGTACTCTTATCCCTTTATTTAAGAATAAAGGTGATGTACAAGAATGTGCCAACTATCGAGGGATTAAGCTTATGAGTCACACCATGAAACTTTGGGAGCGAGTGATTGAGCAAAGACTTCGAAGGACTGTGAAGATTTCAGAGAATCAATTCGGTTTTATGCCTGGTCGCTCAACAACTGAGGCTATTCACCTTCTTCGTCAACTTATGGAGAAGTATAGAGATGCTCATAAGGATCTGCATTTGGTGTTCATTGACTTAGAAAAGGCATATGATAGGGTACCTCGAGAAGTTCTTTGGTGGGCCTTAACTAGGAAAGACATATCACGCAAGTATATCAGCATCATCATGGATATGTATGAGGATTAACTACAAGTGTTCGTACTAGTGTAGGGAGGACTGAAGAGTTCCCTATTACTATCGGAGTGCACCAAGGATCGGCCTTGAGTCCTTTCTTATTTGCCATAGTCATGGATGAACTTACGAAGTCAATTCAAGACGATATACCGTGGTGCATGATGTTTGCCGACGATATTGTATTGATTGATGAGACGCAATCAGGTCTTAAAGCAAAGTTGGAAGTATGGCGACAAACATTGGAGAATAAGGGTTTCAAACTAAGTCGGAGCAAGACAGAGTACATGGAGTGCAAGTTTGGTGGAGGTAGAAGTAGTGGTAATAGCGGAATTACTCTGGATGGTAAGGAGATACCAGTCAGCGATATGTTCCGTTACTTGGGCTCCATAATTCAGAAGGACGGTGAGTTAGATGGAGATGTATCCCATAGAATCAGAACAGGGTGGATGAAGTGGAAGAGTGCGTCAGGATTTCTGTGCGACCGAGGTATGCCGACTAGACTGAAGGGTAAATTTTATAGGACAACAATTAGGCCTGCATTACTGTATGGCGTAGAGTGTTGGGCGGTGAAACAATGTCACATTCAAAAGATGAGTGTGGCAGAGATGCGCATGCTGCGTTGGATGTGTGGGCATACTAGGAAGGACCGCGTGAGGAATGAGACAATCAGACAAAGGGTGGGAGTAGCACCTATTGAAGACAAGATGCGGGAGTCGCGCCTACGGTGGTTTGGTCATGTGCGTAGAAGACCGAGTGATGCACCTGTTAGGCGAGTTGAGATGTGTGGAGAAGAGCCAGGGAAGAGAGGGAGAGGAAGACCCAAACAGACGTGGGTTAGGGGAGTTCGAAGTGATATGCTTCTTCTGGGGTTGGATGAGGGCATGACTTTGGAGAGAACTAAGTGGAGGGCGGGTATTCACGTGAAGGAGTGATCTTGATAATCTTTTTCCCTCATCTTTTTTTTTCCTAGTTTTTTTTTTATCCTTGTATATATATATGCATTATTTGCAGCCTTTTTATTTTATCATTTTTATATATAGTCATCTTTTTTATATTATCTTTTCATAATAGCTTATCTTTTTATCTTTATTCCTTCTTTTCCTTTTGGTTGTGATATCATGTATCGATTCATGTTAGCCGACCCCAATATCTTTTGGGACTAAGGCTTGGATGTTGTTGTTGTTGTTGTGTATATATATACACACACACATATATGTACAAACATGCCACACGAGATTATGTCACCATAAGGAAGTCTAAAATTATTGAAATCTTAGTCACCAAAACTTCCAAAAGTATTGAAATCTTAGTCCATAACAAAACATTAAACACAACATCCACAAAAACAAATTAAATTGTAGTGGAGGCATCTTCCACGGGATCAACATCTTCATTAAAAATGACACGTTCAAGATCAGGTTCATCCAGTGATAGATTTGCAAACTCAAGAACACCAACATCTTCCAAGCTTGCAAATTGATCCCCACCAACATCCCACATCTTAGTGTTCTCATCTTCATACTGGGCAGAATTTCTTTAAAGTACGCGTAGATTATTGTGAATGAACACGTAGATTTAATATTTATATCATTATATGCTAATTTCATATCAAATTTCAAATCCCCAAAATTGGTGTTCTAGACTTGCACGTAGGAGTGTTCTACATTGCTTAATTCTATATAATATGCAGCTGGGTTCAATTCCAAAGGAAGCGCAAGTGAATTCTTTTAATATTTGTTCGTTCTTCTATTTCAACTTTCCCACACCGGATGGAGAGGAAAGTTAATCCTCCGCGTGGGCTAATAAAAAGAAGTCACTCTAACTTTGTTCAAAATAGGTGATAGTGCGGAAGCCTAGACTTTCACTTCGTACTCCGGCTAATTTAGCCCGGTAAACAAGTGTGCTCAATTGTTTTTGGGCCAGGCGTTTTTGTCACGCCTAATGAGCATGTGGGACGTTTT